CCCAATGGTACATTTAGTATGTTCCTATTTGTGAGGTTTTTTAAATGAAAGGATATACACAAGTATAGGAATAAGAAAGTTCTGGAAAGATAAAAGAAATTGTTAAGAGTGATTGCCTCTGAGGAGTCTAATGTGAAAGAGAGTTCTTTTTTTCATCTGGATACCCTTTTGGATTGCTTGAATTTTTTTTTTTTAACCATGTGTACATATTGCTTTTTCGATAAACAGAAAAGTATATTAAGCCCAATTTTAAAAAGGACCAGTACTAAATTATCTTTTGGTGCACTACAACCTATGATGCTGAATACACAAACATATCACAAGAGTTCAAACTATCAAAACTGACCTACGGTTTCATTTTATTAGTATTCACCTTTTGTTAGAAGATACAAATGCTGTGACCCATAATATTCTGAATCACAGGTGTTTCTCCATTTATGGTAAAACAAAGTCTATTCGCACATTCTTGGAGTTTTCCAAATGTTAGTCATACGTAGGGGGAGGGATGGATGACAGAGTTTATAATAGTCCGATGATTTCAAACAGAAAATAACAACAAGCAACCTGACTCCCATTAAGAGTTGGCTTAATGGCTGACAATCATTTTTGGCAGTAATCATGATGTCAAATGGAACAGTCCACATCATGATTCCTGTTTCATGTTTTTACTATAATTCCCAAAATCAATCTAGTTGGAAAAAACAATATGGAAAAGTAGATTAATTTTGTTCAGGCTTATCTTAAAGCACTTTGTCAAGGCCTGCAAATTAGAATCATTTAAAAATTTAAAAAAAAAAAATGTACCCGAAGGATGTCACACTATTTCTTTGAAGATTCACTATGCTTTCACAAATATATATGATTATGTATAACTGGATATATATAAGTGCATACGCATTTGTCAGTTTGTTGTACTGTGGGTGCTTGAGTGTTGCTATGATGTTGGAAGCTACGTCACTGGTATTCAAATTGGTATACCAGCAGGGTCACCCATGGTAGATAGGTTTCAGCTGAGCTTCCAGACTAAGGCAGACTATGAAGAAGGACCTAGCAATCTACTTTCGAAAAGAATTAACCAGTGAAAACCTCATGAATAGCAACGGAATATTGTCTGATATAGTGCCAGAAGATGAACCCCTCAGTTGGAAGGCACTCAAAAGACAACTGGGGAAGAGCTGCCTCCTCAGAGTAGAGTCAACTTTTAAGTGACACAGATGGAGTCGAGCTTTTGGGAACTTCATTTGTTGATGTGGTATGACTCAAAATAAGAAGAAATAGCTGCAAACATCCATTAATAATTGGAATGTGGAATGTACGAATTATGAATCTAGGAAAATTGGAAATGGTCAAAAATGAAATGGGACACAGAAACATGGATATCCTAACCAGTAGTGAGCTGAAATGGACTGGTACTGGTCATTTTGAATCGGACAGTTATATGGTCTACTACGCGGGAAATAACAGATTGAAGAGGAATGGTGTTGTATTCATCAACAAAGAGAAAATTTCAAGATCTATCCGAAGTACAACACTGTCAGTGATAGGATAATATCCACACGCCTACGAGGAAGACCAGTTAATACGACTATTATTCAAATTTGTGTACCAATCACTAAGGCTAAAGACGAAGAAGCTGAAGATTTTTACCAACGTCTGCAGTCTGAAATTGATCAAATATGCAATCGGGATGCTTTGATAATCACTGGTGACTAGAATGCAAGACTTGGAAACAAAGAAGGATAGGTAGATGGAAAATATGGCCTTGGTGATAGAAACAATGCAGGAGATTGCATGAGAGAATTTTGCAATACCAATGATTTCTTCATTGCAAATACCTCTTTTCAACAACATAAACGGCAATGATACATGTGGACCTCGCCAGATGGAATAGAGGAATCAAACTGACCACATCTGTGGAAAGAGATGATGGAAAAGCTCAATATCATCATCAGCCAGAACATGCCAGCAGCTGACTGCAGAACAGACCATCAATTGCTCATATGCAAGTTCAAGTTGAAGCTGAAGAAAATTAGAACAAGTCCACGAGAGCCAAAGTATAACCTCGAGTATAACCTACTTGAATATAGAGACCATCTCAAGAATAGATTTGACGCGTTGAACATTAATGACTGAAGACAACTTGTGGAATGACATCAAGGAAATCATACATGAAGAAAGCAAGAGGTCATTAAAAAGACAGGAAAGAAAGAAAAGACCAAAACGGATGTCACAAGAGACTCTGAAACTTGCTGTTGAAAGTTGAGTAGCTAAAGTGAAAGGAAGAAATGATGAAATAAACAGCTGAGCAGAAGATTTCAAAGGGCAGCTCAAGAAGACAAAGTATTATAATGACACGTGCAAAAACCTACAGTTAGAAAACCAAAAGGGAATAACAACACTCAGCATTCTCAAGCTGAAAGAGCTGAAGAAAAAAATCAAGCCTTGAGTTACAGTAGTGAAGGAGTCTATGGGGAAAATATTAAATGACGCAGGAAGTGTCAAAAGAAGATGAAAGGGATACAGAGTTACTATACCAAAAATAGCCAGTCGACATTCAACCATTTCAGGAGGTAGCATACAATCAGGAACCAATGGTACTGAAGGAAGAGGTCCAAGCTGCAATGAAGGCATTGGTGAAAACCAAGGCTCCAGGAATTAACAGAATACCAATTGAGATGTTTCAACAAACAGATGCAGTGCTGAAAGTGCTCACTTGCCTATGCCAAGAAATTTGGAAGACAGCTACCTGACCAACCGACTGGAAGAAATCCATATTTATGCCTATTCCAAAGAAAGGTAATCTAACCAAATGTGGGAATTATCGAACAATATCACTGATACTACAGGCAAGTAAAATTTTGCTGAAGATCATCCAAAAGCAGCTGCAGCAGTGCATTGAGAGGAAACTGCCAGAAATTCAAGCCAGATTCAGAAGAGGATGTGGAACCAGGGATATCATTGCTGATGTCAGATGGATCCTGGCTGAAAGCAGGGAATACCAGAAAGATGTTTACCTGTGTTTTATTGACTATGCAAAGGCATTCGACTGTGTGGATCATAACAAATTATGGATCACATCGCAAAGGATGGGAATTCCAGAACACTTAATTGTGCTCATGAAGAAGCTGCACGTATATCAAGAGGCAGTTGTTTGAACAGAATGAGGAGATACTGCATGGTTTAAAGTCAGGAAAGGTGTGTGTCAGGGTTGTATCCTTTCACCATACCTATTCAATCTGTATGCTGAGCAAATAATCCGAGAAGCTGGACTATATGAAGAAGAACGGGGCATCAGGATTGGAGGAAGACTCATTAATAACCTGTGTTATGCAGATGACACAATCTTGCTTGCAGAAAGAAAGTGAAGAGGACTTGAAACACTTATTGATGAAGAACAAAGACTACAGCCTTTAGTATGGATTACACCTCAACATAAAGAAAACAAAAATCCTTACAACCGGACCAATAAGCAACATCATGGTAAGTGGAAAAAAAATATTGAAGTTGACAAGGATTTCATTTTACTTGGATCCACAATCAGTACACCTCAACATAAAGAAAACAAAAATCCTTACAACCAGACCAATAAGCAACATCATGATAAGTGGGAAAAAAAATATTGAAGTTGACAAGGATTTCATTTTACTTGGATCCACAATCAATGCCCATGGAAGCAGCAGTCAAGAAATCAAAGATGAACTGCATTGGGCAAATCTGCTGCAAAAGACCTCTTTAAAGTGTTAAAAAGCAAGGATGTCACCTTGAAGATAAGGTGTGGCTGACTCAAGCCATGGTGTTTTCAATCGCCTTATATGCATGCAAAAGCTAGAAAATGGATAAGGATGACTGAAGAAGAATAGATGCTTTTGAATTATGGCATTGGTGAAGAATACTGAATATACCGCGGACTGCAGAAGAGCGAACAAATCTGTCTTGAAAGAAGGACAGCCAGAACGCTCCTTAGAAGCAAAGATGGCGAGACTTTGTTTTACATACTTCCGACATGTTATCAGGAGAGATCAGTCCCTGGAGAAGGACATCATGCTTGGTAAAACAGAGAGTCAGCTCAAAAGAGGAAGACCCTCAATGAGGTGGACTGACACTGGGGCTGCAACAATGGGCTCAAGCATAACAAAGATTGTGAGGATGGCACAGGACCGGCCAGTATTTCATTCTGTTGTACACAGGGTCACTATGAGTTGAAACCGATTCCAAACAACAACATGTATAAGTGTATAAAATGTGTGTCTCATTTTCTTTATGCTATTTTTCTCCTTACTACCACAGTCCAGACTGACAAAATTTTGTCCTTGAAGATAAAATTCTAATGTTATCACCGTTTTCCCTTTGGGTAAGGATTTTTTTAAAAGTCACCCAAATCTATTTGAATACAAAAGATTCCTACATTGGCTCCGGTAGCACCACCGGATATATTCATGATTAGGAGTTGATCATCTACAGTGGCCAAAGAGTCATGCTTTGATTTGGCAGACAGTGACATGACAAAAAGCCTTGCTGTGCCTCTGAGCTCCCTCTTCTCAGAAAAGATGCAAAAACATCTTAATAGATTTTCCCCAAATGTCTACAGATTGACACTATCAGTATAATGCTGAAGATATCTGAAAGAATGGAAACAACGTATTGTTAATGCTTTTTATATGACACACAATCAAAAACCAAACCAAATTCACTGGTGTCGAGTCAATTCTGACTCACGGTGACCCTACTGGACACAGCAGAACTGTCCCATAGGTTTCCAAGGAACGGCTGGTTTCAAACTGCCTACCCTTTGGTTAGAAGGCATAGCTCTTAACCATTGTGCCACCAGGGCTCTACAATAGTAGGGAAAAATATCATATGACTCATTTGTCATACGTAACTTCATCTGGGGATCCAACGTGCTTATACACATGATTTTATTAAACTGTTAAATTTAAACTAAAGTTAAGAAAAAGCAAATGGTATAAATCAAGGGAAAAGACTACTACATCAACATTTACCTGTTGCGTCAAATTCAATTGGCTGGCACCGGCGGTTAGAAGACCAGTCACATTTGAGGACTTGCCCTCCTTCCACGATCCCAGGCTGAGTAGTGTTTGCTTTGGGAGCTCCCACCAGAAGAAACATCCTACTAAAATATAAAAGGAGGCAATAGTTTATTTTATTTATTTATTTTATTGTGCTTTAAGTGAAAGTTTACAGTTCAAGTCAGTTTCTCATATAAAAATTTATACACACATTGTATGTGACCCTAGTTGCTCTTCCTATAATGTGGCTCCTCCTTTCCACTTCGGATTTCCCGGTTCCATTTAACCAGCTCCTGTCCCCTTCTACCCTCTCGTCTCACCTCCAGATAGGAGCTGCCCATTTAGTCTCATGTATCTACTTGAACTAAAAAGCACTCTCTTCACGAGTATCATTTTATATCTTATAGTCCAGACTAATCTTTGTCTTAAGAGTTGGCTTAAGGAATGGTTTTAGTTTGGGGCTAACAGACAGTCCGGGGGCCATGTCTTCCGAGGTCCCTCCAATCTCAGACCATTAAGTCTGGTCTTTTTACTAGAATTTGAGTTCTGCACCCCACTTTTCTCCTGCTCCATCAGGGACTCTCCATTGTGTCCCCCGTCAGGGAGGTCATTGGTGATAGCCAGGCACCATCTAGTTCTTCTGCTCTCAGGCTGCTGGTGTCTCTGGTTTATGTGGCCCTTTCTGTTTCTTGGGCTAATATTTTCCTTGTGTCTTTGATGTTCTTCATTCTCCTTTATTCCAGGTGGGCTGGGACCGATCGATGCATCTTAGATGGCTGCTTGCTAGCTTTTTTAAGAGCCCAGATGCTACTTACAAAAGTGGGATGCAGAACATTTTCTTAATAAACTTTGTTATGCCAACTGACCTAAATGTCCCCTGAAACCATGGTCCCCAGATCCTTGCCCCCGCTACTCTATCCCTTGAAGTGTTTGGTTATATTCAGGAAACTTTATAGCTTTTGGTTTAGTCCAGTTGTGCTGACTTCCCCTGTAGTGTGTGTTGGACTTCCCTTCACCTAAGATAATTCTTGTGTACTATCTAGGTAGTGAATACCCCTCTCCTTCCCACGTAACCAGGAGGCATTATTTTAAAAGGCAAAAACTATAAGCAAGATCTTATGATTCAAGAGGAATAATTATGCTCTTGATATTATCCACAAATATTATCTTTTTAAAACCATTCACTGAGGGCACAGTCTTCATTATTCACATGGTACTCTCTTACATACATTATTTGATATGGTTTATTCATCTTAATAACATAGTACATGGCAACTTCAGCATTTTATGCCATTTAAAAATTTATGCTGGTCAAACTGTATACTTTAAATATGTGAAGTTTGTTCCATGTCAATTACACCTCAATAAAACTGTTTAAAAAATGTATTTTGGCTAGAGTATTTTGCTTTTGGTAGTTTTGTTGGTGTATGTGTGGTTTGCTATACAAAGTAGAAAAAATGGCCAGGACAAAAATCTCCAAACAGCCAGGCTCCCTACAGGAGAAGGTATGGGAGAGCTGAAGGTACTGAAATTTAGTTAAAGAGTCTCTGACAAATAGTAAAACTCTTCATCACGGTTAAGTTGCTACATGTCTTCTAAAGCTGTCCAACATAGGTGTGGATGAAGGAGAAAACAATGTAAAACAATGTAGGGTTCAGGGACCAATTTTTTTTATTTTAATAAAGGAAGCACAGCAAGGGAAGAAAAAATGAGGGAGGTGAAACAGAAAAACACTAAATAGTAAACAAGCAGGATGAAGAGAAGAGTGATGAATGTTAGGAATAACTAGTCTATGGTAAGACTTTTTTTTTTTGCTTGCATATTCTGTATTATTGTTGTTGTTATTGTTAGGTGCCACTGAGTTGGTTTTAACTCACAGCGACCCTATGTACAACAGAACAAAACACTGCCGGGCCCTGCACCATCCTCACAATCGCTGCTATGCTTGAGCCCACTGTTGCAGCCACTGTGTCACTCCATCTGGTCAAGAGTCTTCCTCTTTTTTGCTGACCTTCTACTTTACCAAACATGATGTCCTTCTCCAGGGACTGGTCCCTCCTGATAATATGTCCAAAGCACATGAGACGAAGTCTCTCCATCCTCACTTCTAAGGAGCATTCTGGCTCTTCTTCCAAGACAAATTGGTATTCTGGCAGTCCATGGTATATTCAATATTCTTCAAAGACATCAATTCTTCTTCAGTCTTCCATATTCATTGTCCTGCTTTTGCATGCATATGAAGCGACTGAAAATACCATGGCTTGGGTCAGGTGGACCTTAGTCTTCAAAGTGACATTTTTGCTTTTTAACACTTGAAAGAGGTCTTTTGCAGAAGATCTGTCCAATGCAAGTACATCGTTTGAATTCCTGACTGCTGCTTCCATGGGCGTTGATTGTGGATTCAAGTAAAATGAAATCCTCGAGAATTTCAATCTTTTCTCCGTTTATCATGATGTTGCTTATTGGTCCCATTGTGAGGATTTTTGTTTTATTTATGTTGAGGCATAATCCATACTGCAGACTACAGTCTTTGATCTTCATCAGTAAGTGCTTCAAGTCCTCTTCACTTTCTGCAAGCAGGGCTGTGTCATTTGCATATTGCAGGTTATTAATAAGTCTTCCTCCAATCCTGATGCCGTGTTCTTCTTTATATAGTCCAACTTCTCGGATTATTTGCTCAGCATACAGATTGAATAAGTATGGTGAAAGGAGATACAACCCTGATGCACACAACCTGTGAGTTTGTTGTAATGTGGTGGCTTGTGCATTGCTGTGATACTGAAAGTTATGCCACCAGTATTTCAGATACCAGCATAGCAAGGGTCACCCATGGTGGACAGGTTTCAGCTGAGCTTCTAGATAAAGACAGACTAGGAAGAAGGACCTAGGGATCTACTGCTAAAAGAAAACTGGCCAGTGAAAACCTTATGAATAACAATGGAACACTGTCTGAAATTCTATATTAGCCAAAGCAAAAAAAAATTGCAGCAATGAGATTATTTATCACTCATTTCTTATATGCTGAGGGAGAAAAAAAATTACTGGATTCCAAAGTGTGGTGGTTCTAGACAGTATCATTTTCCCATTTAGAAAACTTAGCTTGTTTTAGAACTAACCTGTTGCAGTTGAGTTGATTCCAACTCAAACAGACTCTATAGGACAGAGCAGAACTGCCCAATTGGGTTTTCCAAGGCTGTAATCTTTACGGAAGCAGACTGCCACATCTTTCTCCCATGGAGCAGCTGGTGGGTTTGAACTGCCAACCTTTCAGTTAGCAGCACTTCAGTTAACAAGCGCTTTAACCACTGTACCCCACCAGGGCTCCTGTTTTAGAACTACTATTTTTAAAATAGTGACTAATAAATTTATCTTAATAAGATTAATCATCCTATTCTTTAATAGCACCACTATTCATTTTCTTATCAGGGTAAAATAAACTAAGGATAAAATAATCAGAGATCTAATTTTTTAAGTATAAAGAGATCTTTTCTTTGGTTGTTTCTATTCATTCAAAAATAGACATGGACTGAGTGCCTCCTCTACAGAAAACACAGTCTGGGCACTACAGATACCAGCATGAGTAAAACAACCTTGGTCTCTGCTCTCAGTGGGGTTTATATTCTTTTGGGCAAGAAGGCCAAAAAAAAATTACTGTTCCAGTGCTGTGAAGGAAACAAACAAGAGTTGAGAAAGAGACTTTTTGGGAATGGGAAAGGGAGACCTTCTTTAGATAAAGGAGTTATCTCTAAGGAATGGAGAGGAGAAACTTTCTTTAGATAAAGATAAAAAGACGTTATCTTTAAGGAATGGGGAGGAGAGACCTTCTTTAGATAAAGGAATCTGGCAAGTTATCTCAAAGGAACTCACCAGTAGATTAAAACAGGTTCAGAAGGAAGTAACTAAGGAGTGGGGAAAGGGGGTGGAAGGTAGGGAGGTGTGATGAAGAGGTGGTATGGGAGCACTCTGGACAGAGGTAGAAAGGGGTAGGAAGGAGCTTAGTCTCCTTCAGGAGCTACAAGAAGAGAGGTGTGGCTAGAGCAGGAGAGCATGCTAGGAGTGGAGCTTAAGAACTAAATCAAGCAAGGCATTTTAGGACATGGTAAGACTTTTGGATTTTTATCCTAAGGGCAATGTAAAACCTTCCTCTTCTTTTTTTTTTTTTTTTAAGCAAAAGGATGGCAATCTAATAAAGAAACTAAATTTGCTAACCTAACGGGAAAGTATTAGAGTAGGGCAAAAATGGAACAAGAAAAGCAGGATACTGTTACAGCCACTCAGGGAGGAAGAGACAGAGACCTGGAAGAAGAGTGGGTAGAAAGGGATGGGCAGGCAGATATGAGAAATGGAGTAGAATGAACAGAAGTCGTTGGTGGCTCCAATGTGGGAGAAAGGGAAGATTAAAGAACATCACCTAGGTTTCTAGACCAAATACAGGGGTGGTAGAACCACTTACTGAGCTAGAAAAGTCTAGAAGTTGGGGGAGCAAAAGGCAGATTAGGGATTGAGGAGAAAACCAAGAATTCAGTTCTCAATGTATCAGTACGAGATGTCTGTGAGATACCTAATTGGAGCCCTGGTGACATGGCAGTTAAGCACTCAGCTAACTAAAAGGTTTGTGGTTTAAACCTACCAGCTGCTCTGCAGAAGAAAGGTTTACAGCCCTGAGTCCAAGGCAATGGGCTTGGTTTTGGTTTAAGGTGTGCTTTAGAGATAAAAGTGTTGAGAGTATCAGAACATGAAATGGTTGAGCTGACCCACGGAGAGGCTACAGAGAGAAAAGAGAAAAGTCCCAAAGAGTAAGCTTGGAGGAGCGACAATTTTTGGGCTGCTAAATGAAAGCTTGGTAGTTACAATCTACCAGCAGCTCCAAGTGAGAAAAGAGCTGGTGATCTGCTCCCATAAAAACTATAGCCTAGAAAACCCTATGTGGCAATTCTACTCTGTGCTATAGGGTCACTATGAGTCAGAATCAACTCAATGGCAAAACAACAACAAAGAAGAGAATATAGTAAAAGACACTGAGACAAAACAAACATACAGGAGGAAAACAGAACACAGACATCATGTTGTTATCGTTGTTACACGTTGTCGAGTCAGTTCCAAC